CTCATCAACGACCGGTTCCGGAAATGCAAACTCAGGGCATTTTTTCCCTGAAATATGCAAAACAGGAGGATTTTTGCAGTTCAATAAAATCGAGTTATAGGAACAAACAAAAAAAACATTTAGAAACTGACAGCATTTGTTGAATAGGAAATGACGTCCTTTTTCACACATACATCTCGAGCCTTGGCTGGTCTTCTCACATACGGTACTCTCGCAGGCTCGTCGACACTGATCATCCAGCACACAGCCGGTCTGGTTCGGCTTCAGGGCTAAAAACTGCACACCTTGAATTAGCGCTGGGTTTTGCATGGAGCATTCCGATCTTAACATGACCAGAGAGATCCTGGCTACCTGGCACGACGTCCTCGAGGAACGCGCCCCATTGAAACCTGGGAATTTCACTTTTGGTTGGGAGGTCCTCTTCAAGCAATCCCACCGTTCAGATAGCTCCGCCCGTTTTGGTGTGTGGGAGGGCGAACAGGGGCACTATGGTTTATGGACTACTTGATTTTTCCTCAATGGTCCTGCCGCGATGGCTAGAGCACAGACGATTAGAGAACGGGTGAATGCCCTAGGACTAAGCCTTGGAGAGGAGAGGGACCCGAGAGAGAGCGCAGAGGCGGTTTAAAGGGCTGAGTTCAAGTAGTCCGTGGACCAGGGCACTATAGCATCCTTAGGTAGCGGCTTCAGTAGAACAAGTTTTGAAATTATTCACCAAAGTAAAATTCACGAAAAAAAAACACATACCCATCAGACAGCAACCTTTACTATCACTGGTAGCGTGGAAACAGCTCAAGCCATTTTCACAATCCATTGTCGTCATGCATTCTAAAAAAAAATCGGAAATCAATTGATTTTTCTTTACCGGAATCTTTTGTTGATGCCTCCCGCCACACAAAGCTTTTCCTTTGCGTGTTCCCTCAAGACTTTGTGTCTACCTGAATACAGGAATTACCCTGGCCTGACAATAATTCAGGGCAACACAGCGAGGAGAATCGCAATCGCAATTTCAGGGTGAGAAATGTCCTACGGTCGCATTTGGAGAAATGATTCTCCTTCTGACACCTTGTACTCTCAAGAGAAGCGAAGAGGTTTTTTTAGAACGGGATAGAGGGATGATGTTTCGTATTTTTTCGTGTCTCAGCAATCCTGAGAGCTCTACGTGGATCTCGAGTTTTTTTTTGGAAGTGGGAGATATTCGAAGAAAGGATCACAGGAGGTGGGTTCCCCGAGAGCAGGGTCAACCGTCCGTTGGACAAAGTCCAACGCGACGACGAGAGTAATGCCGAGAGTGAACGTACGCACGGAGACACAGACGGCTCGCGGGTGGCGAGAGTGAATGCCGGCGCGGAGAGCGGTGAACATCGGTCCAACGTCGCTCCAATATCGGTCCAACGTAACGGTTGACCCTGCCCGAGAGGGATCATGCGGAAATGGGAATCTGTACAAAGCAATGGTTGATACTGGGGACGCGGCGAAAGCGACACAACCTCTGTGAGGGCGCATGCATAGTCGGTCGTCCGACAGCAACGATCGTAACTGTCGCACAGCATTCGATGCGTATCGATCGTCAGACTTGCCTGAGTATTCGACGTTACATCACGTATCGTTACGATCGGACGACCGACTATGCATGCGCCCTAAATGAGCCCCAGTTCGCTAGGGCTTGTCGCTAACAAAGGAATCCACGATGAGGTCGAAGGTCGAAGAAGCGAAAATATATGAAGGCGGGCGAGCCTCTCAAGGATGCGGGGCAATGCGCGTTTTGCAGTGAAGAGTTTGCCTCTTGCGGACAGGGCCATACCCGCGCCGCTAGCGCCGTTGCCCGCCCACCTCCTGTAGTCTTACTCTAGCCGTTTAGCACAGAGAAAACTTTAGCGCTGAAGAGGGCAGCTCCGATGAGAGTTGCATATATGCGGAAATCAACGAGCCGGAAAGTGGTCCCGTTTCTGGAGTTTTGAGGCGCTTCTGTTGGTTTTTTCTTCATCTCTGCACCTTTCGCACCTCTACCTTGAGTACTAATTTATTGTAAGCCCGGAGTGGCAGGTTACTTAACCTCGTCTGAGTAAGCCTAAACCCAGCGCTTAGTACCTTAGAATCAACCTTAGAATCACTGACCTTGAGCGCAAAGTGGTGCCGTTGCCTCAACTTCAGCTTCTTCATCAGCACTTTCTGACCTTTTCAAAGATAAATACCATGGATTCGAGCTACACATAGGTGCAGCTACTGAATAAAGTACTATCGCTGTGACCAAATACATAGCAGAACTATCTTAAATAGAATTAACAAAGCAAACTTCGCCGGGAGAACTCAGAATCTTCACGGAGCCAAATAACAATAGGTAAACAATAGCACCAATTCGCAATTCTGGAATGTGATCTTCTGCGGTAGCGCGTTTCCTGACACCGATCGCGATCGGCGTGAAATCCTTGCAACCCATCACTACGTTCCTCTCCAGCGATGATTCCTTGGCCCTTGGGTCTGGCAGAGTAAGGTTTGTACTTTAGTACCTTCGTGTTCACAGGATAATCTAATAAGCTCTCCAGCCATCAAATAAAGGCAACTTACTTTTAGGCACACTATTCTCATGAGAAAGACATTAAACCACTGGAAGGCGTAATTGGAAGGGTTAAAGGAATCTTCCGCGGAAAAAGCTCCGCCTCCATTACCACAGAATAACGACACCTTAGGCCCCTAGCCTCATGAGCATAGCAAAAAACGGAACATAAGCATTAGTTTCGATTAATACTAATCCTACACACAAGACAAAATTAATCGCTCTTCCCGCGGAAGACTTCCTCTAAGGTATCGTTTTCTGTGGTAACGAGGGCGGAGCTTTTTCCGTGGAAGATTCCTTTAAAGCAACAGTCCAGGCAGGGTTTCAACTACTTGGTCATTAGGCGGTCAAAACATGCCCCAGCCCAACTAAAGTTTATAGGAAATGTCTTTAAGTTCAAAACCTACCTCTAAAATGCGCTGGAAGGGGTCGAAGTCCTCTTGGAGGGGGCGGATCACTCATACCGAGGCGGATCGCTCAACATACGCTGTGCAGAGTCCGTGCTTGACTAGCGGTCGTTGCGGGACCGCCGCGCTGTATGAGGTCGATTCTATAAGAACGCAACTAAGCGCTTCAATTACGATTGCTGGCAAATAGCCATGTATTTGCAAGCATGCATGGCTATTTGCCAGCAGTTGCAATTGGAGCGCATGTACTGCGGGTAGGCTCGGACAACTCGTCCAACACACGTCTCCCCCATCGCTAAACGGCAGGGGGAGTCCCTGTCTAAGCCCCTGCCCGACATTTTTTTCTACTTTTTCTTTCTCCATTGACCAACTTCTCACCTGCAACGTCATTACAGGTGGTCCTTACCCGCGAATTCGTTCCTGGATTGTTGCTTTAAGCATAACCCTAGCTCTCACTGCAATCGATATAGCCGGTGCGTAAGGTCCAAATACAATTAAAGACCAAGATAATTTGTGTGAGCCAAGAAATCCGCGATGCGGTAGTGGTAGCAAAATTAGGGTACCCCCAGGAGGCCCATCGCGCGGCAAGAAGGCAGAGTCGGCGGACGAGTCGCAGCGCGTGATGTGCGATGTAGGACGTGCAATGGGACATTCTATTTAACTTGACGCGAAATCCCTATACGCGCGCGACTCGTCCGCTGACTCGGCCTTCTTGCCGCGCGACGGGCCTCCTGGGGGTACCCGCAAAATTACCCTCGCCAATCCAAGTAGCATCCCTTTGCATTCGCGTGCAAGGAAGCTTATGCTCAAAAAGGAGCTTCACGAATTCTCCTCCCCTATTTGCTCCATTTCTAAATAAAGCTCATCGTGGGCAGGAATGGTGTAGTGGCAAGTGGCGTCTTATTACGCGCGCGGCCCGGTGATCAAATTCAGGGGCGTCCGGACCTACCGGACCTTCAATCTATCCTGCATTGGTTATTCGGTATCAGACTTGTCTGGGAGGATAAAAAGCACTGACTAGTACATCGGAGTTGGAGATGGACTCTTAGTCAAAATGAGCCGTGCATTTCACTTCCGGTCACCTGGTGATAATAGAACTAAGGCCGACTTTGAAAAGCTCTGTTGTCTGAGGATCTCTTTCAGAACGAATTCTAATACCAAAGAATGAATACCGCACCAGTGCAATGAACACACAACTGGTTAACCGGGCCAGAATGGATCAAGTCTCTGAGCCTGGCAGCAGACTCGATCGTACCGCCGATTCATAGACTCGTGCGCATTTATCTTGGAAATGGCCGTCACGTACCAAACGAGGAGGAAATTCAATAGAAACTTAGAAAGTGAGAAAATATCAAGCTGTAAACTGCGGGATCTTAGTGCGAAAGCCCGTCTACGGTATCATCCCTGAAAATTACTCCACTAAATATAGATAAAACGAGCACAAAATTGTATTGAAAAGCAGTCCAAAGGGGGCAAAAGAAGCCGATTTTGAGCACACCGCACTGGGCACACACGGAAGCAATCCCACTTGAGGCGGGGATTTCCCACGAGGTGCTCGACGTGCGCGATTGTGAACCAACTCGACTGACCGCTTCGACGGTACTTTCAGCGCATCATTCGTCTAAGGATAAAAACAAACGCTCCGATAAGAGCAAACAACTACAACCTCTTCCGATTTCTCACGACACCCACCAATTCTCGTATTTCATTGCTACAACATCGCAACACGTCCCTTTAGTGATTTATAGACTGCAGTCAAATCTAAATATACAGCTATTCTGCGTCGCTAATCGATATCACGAGAAGCGCGCGTAGGACTATGTACAAAATAATTGATGAAGAAAAACGAAACAAAAAAAAACAAATAGAAGACAACAAAGTGAAAATTGCCGTTTGTATTCAGCACAATGGCAATCTCTATCCATCCATTAATCGCGAAGTCCTACAATACTAAAAATTCTGGAGATCTCTCAAAACCAGTTGAACAACAATTACGGTATTGAGGTGAATGATGAGAAAAAAATTGCCAAAAATACCCCGTGCACAGCTAAACACAAGAAATCACCGAGAGCACTATACATTGCCCGAAAGGCGCACATTATATCAAAGAGGCATTGTGTGTTGGAGAGAACCGTGGAAAAAGGATACTCATCTCGTTTCAGGTGAGGGTGGATTCATGGCTAGTAGCAGCTGTGCCACATGGGGACAAACTCCGGATCAAATCTCGCGCAGAACACAAAAATCCCATCAACACACCAAGTTTAGAGTTGCGAAAGGTGCACCTCGTGGGACGAGCCGGCGCCCTTGCGCGTCAAACAAATCACTCCCGCCAAATCGCCCATGTCCCATGTGGCGTTGAAAGCCAATTTCGGTGCGACTTAGAAATGGATCAAGTAACGGTGGAAGCAAGACTGCACCCATTTGCTATGTAGAACCCACGCCAAAGGCACGATAGGGTAAGCACCCATACCGTTAATCCCTGTTTCTATCGCAGACCCACCCTTCAAATAAAAGACAGAAACAGGTGGCTCAGCAGTTGGGACCACTCGCTGGAAATTGGATGGCCCAAATTGAATATGGAAACAGTATTAAAACGATCAGGATCCAGGTTACAATGTGAAAAATGAATCAGACGAAAAAGAACGTAAAAGCATAATAATAGGCAGAACATCCTGTCAGCACATCTGCTCCATTTTTGCCGTAACTGTCCATAGTTTCACTGCTACGTATTGGATCCTGGATTGGCTATCGAACCAGGATTGTGTCCCATGCCAACGGAACCCACCGGTCCCACTGACACCGGACCGCCCACTGAGCCTGGCATATAACCGACTGATGCAGGCATTCCAGCAACATTGGCCGACGATACTCTGAAGAAAAGCTTGCTAAATAAAATAAATGCCGAGGAATTTGAAAAAAAAATGAAAAGTACAGAACAACTAAGTGTCAGAGCGCAATCGCTACTTACTTGTCCAGACACTGGCGGATCGCCGGCCACAACGGACACTCGCCGGTCCTTGCCGCCTCCTGTGAACAAGCAGACAGAATCGACGACAGCGCCTCGTCCTCACTGCCGTGCTGTTTGACAGTATTCCTGAAAATGAACATGGATGCAACCAATTTTCTACTTGTTATGGCGCTAACCTCACTAGTGGTAACTGTTCTTCGGACCCGACTGTAAACTGACTGCTTTGAAAACAAAAAATATGAAATAAATCAAACAAATGTCGTGCTGGGCGAGAGCACCGTGCGGCCCGCCGACAACGGGTCAAGCAGCACATCTGTAGGTAGCTATAGTAGCCCCAAAGATGACTTTGATCAGAGTTACAGTACGTCCAATTAATGCACAACAACGAAAAAGGGCCTACAAAGATGAGAAAAGAACTCACGTTTGCATATTGTAAACAATCCGGAGCAAATGTTTCTCATTACTACGTGGTGACGTGGCACGACTCGGACGGAAACATATCTAAAAGGTTAAAAAGTACGCATAAGCAATTATAACTATCATAAAACCACGGCCAGCTAAAGCGCTTACCAATAGCAAAGCATTGACGTTATTCGCATCGAACACGGTCCCAAACTGGTAACGACGAGCACTAGCATTGGCTTGATCTCTTGCGAGACAAACCAGTTGAATGGACACATTCCAGTAGGTCGATGGTGAAGGGTCCTAGAAAAATACTTTGAAAAAATTCATTCAAAATCAACCGTTTACAGCCCATGATAACCAAGACAGTTGCTGCCACACCCTTCAACGAGAAGGGTAAATACATCCAAGCAATACATATATGGACACATAAAAAAGTTTATGAGGGTAAAGCAAGCTCTGCCATAAGCGAAACGTTTGAGGTTTTGAAACTCGAAAGCATTTCTTGGATGCACACCCACTTACCATTTGAGCATTCATTACGTGAGCGATTCCGGATACCGCGCCATTGGCTACCATACGACAAAGATTGATGAACGAAAACACGGCCAACTCATTGTTAAGACGACAGACCACTAACTCAAAATATCGCTCCAAGGTTGCAATATCGTTCGGTGGAGGGGCATTTCTACCTGAAATTAAACTCACTATCAGACAGGTTTCTAGGCTAGAATTCTCTTAATATTACACTCACTGTATTCGACATTCAACTTCAAAGTCAAAGTGTTCGAATCCAAATGGAAGTTGAAAGAGACGATGCCACCAATTTGCTGCGGCGTCTGAGGAGCTGACGCGTCAGTACGCTGAGTTTGAGGTGGGACCGCCACAGGGATCGAGATACGAACCTGAGTGAGCATAGTTGAAAGACTTCCAGGCCATTTCCAGGTCAATGGTTGACTAGAGAGTTTCGAAATATTCTGATACTCACAAAATCCAAGCCGCATCTCATTTCACTGAACGGGAAACGACCAGCGGACTGATTGCGCTTGTGAGCTTCGAATGCTAAGGTCAACTTTTTGATGAAGCAAAGTGCAGACAAATAGTCATCAAGTGGAGCACGCATGAGGTTAGTGCCAGCTGAAATAGGAGAAAATGGTATTCCGTGCTATCTAACTTGTTTGTAAACTCACGAATTTTGACGTAAACAAAAGCACGACGCAGGGTATCATGGTCGATAACCACAGGTGCTGACGACGTCTCTAGCTCAGCCGAACTACCCAACATGGCTGGCGATACGGCAGCCGCGTCGGAATTCGGTGGCACTGACAAAGATGCAGACAACGAAAGTCCAGCTGGTGAAGCGTCTACTATCTGGAAATCGAACAAATTTGGCCAAGTTAAGGATGGAACATCGAATAGGAGAGGTGCTAACTTACATTAGGTGGTAGCGAAGCGGGTTGAATCGGCGAGCTTGAATGCATAAACCGTGGCTCATTTTCTTTACAAGATTTTGACGTGCCACTAAAAAAAATCAGTTTTATAGCCCCTATTTGACTTTTGTAGTGTACGATAAACGAGATTACGACCCCGAACGAGAGGAGTGATTGTATTCTCATTCTATCCGATTTCATAATTCAAACTAATACGGCGGACTGAGGGTACGCCGTTCTAGGACTAGCGAACTGAGCGGAGTGGAGCAGGAAGTCACCGAGTGACGATGCGCAACTTGTGTCTCGGGTTTTTGTGTTTCGAGAGAGTTCGCACCTTACACGAGGTTGCGTGCTCTACGTACCCCAAAAAGCCAGCGCCGTAGACCAGTGGCAGAAACACTTGCACTGCACACTTCATGTCCCTTGAAAGAGATACAATAACACCGGAACAAGGCGCGCATGCAAGTGAGATGACGTCGCTCGGTGACTTCCAGATGAAAACTACTCTATGATTGGTACGCCTTCTTCTCCGTAAAAGAACAAAATGCGAAGTTCAAGTTAAACGGTACTATGAAATTCTCAGTAGAATTGAAAAATGATTAAAAATGACACATTCAAAAATGACAGTTGACAAGCAGAAAACTCACTTTGATAAAAGATGGAAGAACTGGTGAAGACCAGCACAACGCGGATTGTTTCTCGAACTATCACGGATAGCTACAGTATCTCCGGACAGCATAATGAACTCAAGATGTATATGTCCATATGTCAACCGCAATGTGACCTCGTTTATTGGCATCAAATGGAACTGAAATAAATGAAATAAAACCGAGCACTAGGACCAACTGGCGGTGCAGTTGACTTTAAGAAGATCATCAAGAGCCTATACGCTTCGCGATGAAACTAGCAATTAGCGCTTTCCGTACGCAAGATTCGGGACCCAAACTTGAAAACTGATCCCAATAGTCTCCTATATCACTTAAGTGGTACTAGATAAGGTGTTATGCCAGGATAAATCTCTCACTTTATTTGACCCCTACAAGCATTGTACTAGGT